ACAACAGAGCTGCCGGACTCATCTCTGACGAGCAGGGTTTTTTTTGTCTCTCTCTCTCTCGCTCTGTCTCTCTTCGAGCTGCACGGTTTCCCCGGGGGCCGAAGGCGATCCGAGGAGGAGGAGAAGGAGGAGGAGGAGGAGGAGGAGGAGGTGGAGGAGGAGTGGGAGGGGGAGGGGGAGAAGGCAAGCTAGGTGCGCTCGCGTCATATCTGACGTCCTACCCCTCCCTCCCATCCCTTACCATGGCGCTGATTTTCTCTATCCGCGGACGCGTGTCGTAGCGGACCTGTGGCTCCGCGCGCGCGTGCGTAGTGGGTGGTGGTGCACGTGCGTGCGTGCGTGCGTGTGTGCGTGGTTGTGGTGGTGGTGGTGGTGGTGGTGGTGGTGGTGGTGGTGGTGGTGGTGGTGGTGGTGGTGGTGGTGGTGGTGGGTGGTGGTGGTGGTGGTGGTGGTGGTGGTGGTGGTGGGTGGTGGTGGTGGTGTTGGTACTGGTGCTGGTGCTGGTGGTGGTTGTGGTGGTGGTGGTGGTGGTGGTGGTGGTGGTGGTGGCGGTGCGGCGCGGTGGTGGCGGGCGGATGGGCGCGCGAGAAAAAGGCCCGCGCTGGGGCGAGAACGCCATCCTGAACGACGGAGGCCAAACACCGATCCGAAAATGAGGCCCACGCTGCAGCGGGAGCACGATTCGGAACGATTCGGGAGCAGAAATGAGGCCGGCGCCTCAACGAGAGCAGCATTTTGGGAAAAAATGACACCGGCGCCTCAGCGAGAGTCGTTTCCCGGGATTTCCCGGGAATCCTGTGTGTTAAAAAACAGTACGCGGAGGGTGCGCGGCCATCACCCGGACGCCATCAGGGGAATAGGGAGAGTATTTTCATATTGAGTAATTGTAGATGGAGGAGGAGGGAGAGGAGGAGGGAGGAGGAGGAGGAGGAGCAGGAGGAGGGCGGGTCGCCGAAGCCCTTCGGAGAAACCCCCCACTTGGAGCACTCGGGGCCTGCGCCTCGTGGAGGGTGCGGCGGGAGGCTGCGGGGGGGCTCCCGGGAGACCCCGGGGCCACAGCTCAACGCCCATGTGGCGCGGACTCCACTGGCGGGTGCTCTGGCCAGCGGCCCGGCGAGCCCAACCCTTCCCGATGTGGGCAGCGCTGCGGTGCCTGGAAGACGCCCTAAAACGGCAACGTTCGGCAGCTTTCCAAAGTACCCGTTAGTGAGTACCCGTTACGATGCCCCTGAACAGTGAGCCAGGGTTGGAAGCCGGGCCTGTCCCTCTGCAGCATTCGGCCTGACCCCAGGAACGATGAATAAGGAACGAAGCCCCTTGTTTTCCGAGTAAGTCTACGGAGTCCGAAGGAACACCAGGGGGGCCCGCCGCCAAATAGGTAGCGGAACGCATGCAAACGAAAAGAACGATCGATCCCCTTTTGAACAGTGAGTGTTCCTTATTCAAGCCAGTCCCTCCACGGGGACATGCCCGACCCAAGGCCAGGGGACAGCCGTGGCAACGCCCGAACAGCGGGCGACGGCACACCCGCGGCGCTGCCCGAGCGCCAGCAGCGTCGCCCTCCCAGGAAGAAAAAACCTTTCCCGCGAGGCGTGGAGCACAACCGTGCTAGCCGCAAGCTGCTGACAGTGTACGGGGTGGGGAATACAGTAGAGAAAACCAGCGAGCTCAGGAAAAACAGCTACGCTGGGTGCGTGTACAAGTCCGTGCAAGAAGCTGAAAGCATCCTCGATGGCAAAATGCTCAAACTCTAGGAGTCCGGAGATCTTCGGAGATCCGCGCGGAAATCCTGCATCGGCGCCGGAGCCCCCTCTTTGAATGCGCGGAGCGCGCCAAGGTCAGGGCGGCGCCTCCAGGGAGACTCCAGCGCCGATGCAAGAAATCCGCGCGGGTCTCCGAAAACAGCTCGTGCACAGATGTGACAGGTTCTGAAGGGGGCCCTGGGACACACAAATAAATAGGCACAACTATCAGGATAACCCAAATCCTGAAATATATGTATTTTGGGTTTTTTTGTCTTCCCCCCCACTTCCCATATTTTTCTATATTTCCTGGTGAATCGACGATTAATAGTGTCTGTGTTTTTTGTTCCCCCTCCCGAGGTTCGCCTGCCTTTGCTCGCACTGCTGCTCTTGGCCAGGCCTTCTCCCGGGGCGCGTTCTGGCCAGGATTAGGTCGGGCATGTCCCCCTACAGGGCGATGTTCAACGAAAAATGAAACATATCCAAAACAAATTTAAAAAATGGCTAAACATAGTCAACAAAAATCGTCTCCACACTATGTTCTATTATTTTTTTGAATTTTCCTCCTGTAGAGGGACGCGCCCGACTTAAGGCCAGGAATTCGAGGCGAATCCAGCCGTGGCGACGATGGCCGGGCAGCTGTACCGGTATCCGCCGCCGTGCAATTGGCACGCAGTGGAGTGCCCCAAGGCTTACGACTGCGCTGCTGCTGCTGCTGCTGCCAAGACTCTAGATTTAAATCGGGCCTGTCCCTCTACAGGGGGGAATATTTAAAAATAGTAGAAGAATTGTCTGGGGACGTTCCTTTTCCTCTTTTTCAAAAAATGCACGAAATAGTTTTCATTACTTTGGGGGTACTTATTGTTTTTCGCCCACAGGCCGCCCGTGGGGAGACATGCCCGTCCTAACTCTAGATTTGAAGGGCCTGGGCCCCCGGTTCCCCAGGCGCTGGCGCCCTTGGGCGCCGCCGGGGTGCCCCGGGTGGGCCTTCGGGGCGGTCCCCTCGCTCGGGAGGGCCCTGGACGGGCCAAGAAGGCCATGGCAGGCCGCCCAGACGGCCCACGAGGGTCCAGAATCGCCGAAGGGTCGCTCCAAGACGTCCGAAATGGCCTCCAGACCGCCCACGATGCCACCAGGACGCCTAAGACGCCTCGGAGAGCACTCCCAGGAAAGCCCCACCGAGGACAATTCGCTCCATTCCCGCTGCTTTTTGAGCGAGTTTTGCGGTTCTGCCTTTTGTTCGCGGTTCTGCTTGTTTGGCCTAGATGTCCCCAATATTACCCAAAGACTGCCCAAGAGGCCCCCCAAAGGGCCCCAAGCCGACCCAAGAGGGTCCCAAGACGGCCCAAGGGGCCCCCAGCACGGCACAAGAGCCCTCCCCAAGAGCCCCAAGAGGGGTAACCAAACTGACATTTCGACCTCCCCCCCCCCAAGATGGCACCCACAGCAGTTGTCAAGAACCTATGATGTGTATGTAATAACGCACTCGAATCTCTGAACTCGATCTACAAACACGTGGTAGATTCTTTCCAAAACGGATTCCGTGCGGCAAATCGCAATACCACTTTCCGAGCCCGGCCCCACAGATTTCTGAATGTCCGTTATGCGACGCTCAGATTGCCGATTACATTCAGCTTGCACAACACCTTTGTACTCACTCCGGCAGTCTTCCCGTGCAGCTCCCAACTGGAGGCCATGGCGGCGGCAGCACCAGCCTGGGCGACCGGCAAGCATCGGACCAGCAAGGCACCAACAAGCGACTCCGACGGCCAGCGCAACAAGATCGGGGAGACCGTCATGGGCCAGGCTAGGCGAGAGGAGCTGAAGGGCAGGGAGGGCGGCATCATGGCTGCGCTTCTCACGGTGCTGGGCAGGCTCTCGCTCGCCAGCGCCAGGGATCTCGCAGAGCTTACGGGCGCTACCTTAACTTGTTTTCTCGTGGCAGTGGCGGCACCTGTCCCCCAGGCAGTGGCCGTCCTCAAGCACTACGCGAGCCAGACCATCAAGGAGAGCAAGGAGAACACCCTCCGAGTGCTGACCGAACGCGTCCGCCACTGCCGTACCAGAGCGTGATGGTTCGAGACGAAAGTGGGCACGACATCGGCAGACACGTTCAAGCTGCAGTACAGGATGAGCCCCTACATCCAGAATCAAGTGGTGACGTTGGACGGCAGCCCCGTCGCGACTGTACTCGGCACTCACGGTATGCATCAGGGCGCACGGAGGCAATATCGAGGCGGGGGCAACTCCCATGGGAGCGCCAGAGAGAGATGCATATCAACTTCTACAAAGACCGACATGGGTCCACCTCGGCCGTCGTCGCGTTTGCGGAGTGCTTTTGCGCGGTGCCAACGTCCAACCGACGGTTTTTGCGGCGGCGACCGTGTTGCCAAAGTGTCCCGCTGCAGAGGTTGTTCGGTCGTTCGCGCCAAGGCGACCAGCTCCGCAAAGGAAAACGTCCTGGCACGCAACCGCCGATAATTTTGTTGGGTCCCTGCGGCGCCTGGGACTGAGCTCCGCAAGTTCCTCCGCGGCACCCTCTGAGGCTCGGCGCGCCTCGTCTGCTGGCCGCAAGCAGCCAGCTCGTTCGGGAATGGTTCAAGACTCGGTTGGAATGCTCGAACTTGCCCAGCGCGGCCATCCGAGGCACCGTCAGCTGGCTAGTCCCCAGCAGCGCTCTTCAGGCTCCTATACTACAATGCAGGTCAGGAGCTGTCACTTTTGATGCCAGTTAGAGCGCTGGTCACTGACCTCACCCCCTACTCCGTCGCTGCTGATGCGCGTGCTCCTGGTGCGCTGCTGGCTCTTCCCAGTCCTCCACCCCCTTCAACGCCACCAAATCTTGGTTCTGACCAGACTGGTGCCACGGTCCCCTCCGCTGCCCGCGTGCTTTCCTCCTCTCCTCAGTTTCTCCTGTTGCGCTTGCCTGCTCTCTTCCTTCTTCTGGGCTCGCGTATGTGGTAAAGCGCGTGTGTGTGTGTGTGTGTGTGTGTGTGTGTGTGTGTGTGTGTGTGTGTGTGACTGTGTGAATGTGTGTATGTGTGCCTATGTGTGTGTGGGTGTGGGTGTGTGTATGGTGTCCAGTTCGTCTCGCCCGTCGTTCCCCCTCGTTCCCTTGTCGTGTCGTTGCTGGGCCGTGGCGTAGGATTGAGTTTGGGCAGATGTTCGACTCTTCCTCAAGCGCGCCTGCAGCTGGGAGGATGGTGCCCATGCAGGCCGTCATGGGCCGTTCCCGTTCTCGGCGGTACTGCTCAGATCAAGAGGACTCTCCCCGCGAGGCTGCAGCTTATAGCCCAGAGGTATCCGGAGATCTTTACATGCTTTGGTCAAGCAAGGTAATTCGTGAAGCTACCAAGCAGGAACCACTGCACAGAATCGCAATCGTTTTGTTCCGTTCCTGCTCCTCCTTCTCATCCTCCTCCTTCTCCCTCCTCCTCCTCCTCCTCCTCCTCCTCCTCGTCTCTCCTCGCTCCCTCCTCCCGGGGTGAGATGCCTAATCCGCCAGCCGCCACCTCGACACGCGGGGGCCTGCTGAAATGCAGCTCGGCATATTTGCCAGATTTTTGCCACGTCCACGGACGCCGCGCGTACCCCCCAAGGACACCCCCGTGCGTTTGCTTCTCGCTAACGCAAAGTCGGATCGGATCGCAGACGGATCGGGTCGCCAGAGGATCGCCCCGAACCGCATCAACATCGGGTCGCCGCGCCCCGTCGTTGACTGGCCCCGCTCGATGCCTGTCACCCTGCGCCGAGCCGAATCGAACCGCCCCCCTCCCTGCAGCCGTCCGCGCCCCGCGTGTCATGCAACTCGTCCGGGCTCGCGTTGGCCTCCCTGCGCCTGCTGCCAAAACGCGAGGAACTCCTCCTCGGTGATCGCATCGTTTCTGTCCTCGTCCACCTGGAGGCCCACCCTCGAGAACGGCAGGACTCGCTGCTGGCGGAAGAGGCAAGGCGAAGCTAGGAGGGCGTGCCGTAGGCACTGAGCGGAGCGCTCTCAAGCACCACCCTGGGGTTCTGCGACCTGACTCTTGTGGATGCTCCTCAAAGGCTCAAGGCCCCGCAATAAAACAGGACGTTGGCGCGCCCGAGCAATCTGCAGCAGTGGACCAGAACATTCTCTATTCTTCGTTCCCTCGAGCTGGAATGTTCAAAGCACTGGTTCGCAGTGTCCGGGTTTCTGGAGCCCTGGAGGGCCCCAGACGACAGACTTCTGAGCTTCCTGGGCGCTGAGGGGCGCTTGATTCTTCCCCAGCGTTACTTTTCCAGCGGCCTCGTGCGCGTGGCTCGAGGCCCGGCTCTTCAACATGCCCTAAGGTGGTCCCAGGGGTCTTTCCTTGGAGCCAATCGGGGGCCTCTTGGCCGTCTTGGAGACCCTGGAGGCCAGCCCAAGAAGCAAACATCATGGAAACAGACTTGGAACACCCAGGGTGCCTGCATGATGTTTGCACTCCAGGATGTTCTATCTGAAGAACGCCCATGACGACCAACGAAGACCCAAACATCGCCCCCAGACGCCCCCCAAGCTCCCAAGAGGGCCAACAGGCCTCCAAGACGGCCTCAGGAGAAGGGGCCCCAACGGAGGAACCCCAACTGGCACTTGAAGACCTCCAGAGGCCGCTGGCAAGCCCCAAGGAAGTGCCCAAGAGGCCCCGCGGACCCCCACATGAGGCCACCAAGAAACCTTCAACGGCACCCACGAGGTTGCAAGAGGCCCAAAACATGACTCCAACGAGACCTAGGAGGCCTCTCAGAGGTTTACTGTTCACGACCCAGGCACGGTGGCGCGATGTGCCCAAGGCAACTAGACTCAATAACGAACAAACCACTTATGGAATCGCTTCGCTCATTCCGCTGGCCCATTTTCGCGCACAAGGAGGCAGTGCACAGGGCTCTTGGGGGCCTCTTGGCCGCCTCCTGACCGGCTGTTGGGGCCTCTTGGGGCCTCTTAGGGACCTCTGGGAACCTCCTGGGGGCTGCTTATGGCCGAGGGCTCAAACCACTTATTTCCTAGGCTGCGGCTTCTGCTGAGGCTAAGAGTAACAGCACAGAAGCACCCGGCCCCTTCCGAACCAACACCTGTCCTGGCTTCGACGCCAAGGCTGCAGGACGGGGGGCAGCACAGAGCCCTGCAGAAGTCCAAGCAGAATCGCGGTGCGCACCACCGGCATGCACTGACACTACAGCCATCCGTCTCCCATCCGAACCAGCGATTCTTGAGACCACATAAAAGACAGGGCAATCGCACTTGACCACATAAAAGACTTGGCAATCAGGAGGGGAAGCTGATGAGCTGAGGCGCAGGAGAGTGACAAAGAGCAAGAACAGCAGAAAGGGTGGGAGTGCTGGAAGTATCGATGGTAGCCATCTCGCAGTTGAATTCCAGGACTCCCAGCTTGCAGGGTCAAGAGGGACCGTCGAAAGTGACGAGGACCTTGCCTTCTTGCTCCTACTTCACGGGGAGAGGGAGTGCTGTTCGAGGAGCTGTTGGATGAGGTGAAGGGGGGAATTCCAATCGTGCAATGATGTGGCTAATAAGGACGAGGAGGCGGTGGCGAAGTCGCAAGGAACGAACGTCCGGAGTTCAGACTCACCTGTCGCAACGTGAGCATTTGAGAGCCGATCCTCAGCTCGACGGCATGTTGGAGAGTATGCCACGGTCTCATGCCAAATGGTCAGATCCCTTAGCTGCTACCCTGCATCGCCCTTGTGCCGCACATTGATTGCGAAGCGCCTCAGCAAAGAAATTCTGCATGTTCACCTCGACGCGCGCGAGTGGGTGAACGGGTCGGTGGGGGGATGTGTGGCGCTCCTCCTTGAGCATCCTCTGTATCCTCCTATCATGCGGCCATCCTCAATTCTCTTCCCTGAAAATAACTCCTCCCCGTCGCACCCCGAAGCCGCTCGAAAGGGCGGCCGGGCGTCGGCTGCGACTTCCTCACCACTAATGATCCTTAAGCTTGGAATTTGCAACACCTTCATGGATGGATGGCGGGCGGTTTTCAAGATGTGTCTCTCGCTTGAACGCCGCGCACATTCGCCTTGAAATTAAATAGTCCTGGCGAACACCAGCCATATGCAGTCGTGAATGCCATAGTCGTGAATATCGCCTTGAGTGGATCTCCTCATGGGGCCTTGGGTGGGGCTGCCTGCGGGGCCACGGAACGTGGGAAACGTGAGAGGTGATGGTTGGTGGTTGGGGGGAACCCTTGCGACGGTGGCACTGGGACACTGGGTGGAGCCCCCTGTGGGGCCATGGGCCATGTGCGGGGTGTGCCGAAATGGGTGGGGCACTTGAGTGGAGCTCCCTATGGGAGCACTACACGTGGAAGGGGTGTGCCCTCTAAGGGTGGCGGGGACGCATGCGGAGGGTGCCGTGTAAGCCCTCGGTGAAGCTCTTTGTGGAGCCGCGAAACGTGCGAGAGGTGTGCCGACATGAGTGGCGGCGACGCATGCGGACGGCACCACGTGGGGCCTTGGGTGGAGCCCCCCATGGGGCCACGAAGCGTGTGAGGGGTGTGCCCACATGGGCGGCGGGGACGCATGCGAACGGCGCCGTTGGCGCCTTGCGTGAAACTCCCTATGGGGCCACGACAGGTGCGAGGGGACGCATGCGGACGTAAGTATTGATGGGGCCGCAAAACATGCGATCGGTGTGCCGAAATGGGTGGCGGGACGCATGCGGGCAGCGCCATTTGGGCCTTGTGTGGAGCTCCCTACGGGGCCACGAAACGTGTGAGGGTGTGACGGATTTTGGTGGCGAGGACGCATGCGAACGACACCCTTGGGGCCTTCGGTGGAGCTCCCGAGGGGGCCACAAAACGTGTGAGGAGTGTGAAGACATGAATAGCGGGGACGCGTGCGGACGGCACCAGCTGGGCCTTTGGGAGGAGCTCCCGACGGGGCGACACAACGTGTGAGGGGTGCGCCGAAATGGGCGGCCGGGGGGCGCATGCGGGCGGCACCATTTGTGCCTTGGGTGGAGCTCCCCATGGGGCCACGAAGAGTGAGGGGTGCGTAGAAATGGGTGGCGGGTGCACATGCGGGCGGCGCCATTTGAGCCTTGGGTGAGGCTCCCTATGTGGCCACGAAGCGTGTGAGGGGTGCGCCGACACGAGTGGCTGGGGCGCATGCGGGCGGTACGATGTGAGCCTTGGGTGGAGCTCCCTGTGGGGCCACGAAACGTGTGAAGGATGTGCCCGAACGGGTCGCGGGGACGTATGCGCGCGGCGCCATTTGGGCCTTGGGTGGAGCTCCCTTGTGGGCCACGAAGCGTGGGAGGAGTGTGCCTGCTTGTGTGGCGGGGGCGCATGCGGGTGGCAGTTTTGGTGACCATCGCTGGAGCTGCCTATGTGGCCAATAAACGTGCGAGGGGTGTGCCGAAATGGGTGGCGGGGTGTGCCAACATGGGCGGCGAGGGCAATGCGAACTGCGCCATTTGGGCCTTGTGCGGAGCTCCCCATGGGGCCACGAAACGTGTGAAGGGTGTGCCGAGATTGGTGGCGGGGACGCATGCGGGCGGCACCATTTGGGCGTTGGGGGGAGCTCCCTATGGGGCCACGAAACAAGTGAGGGGTGTGCCGAAATGGGTAGCGGGGACGCCTACAGGCAACGCCACTGGGGCCTTGGGTGAAGCTCCCGACGGGGCGACAAAACGTGTGAGGGGTGTGCCGTCATGGTTGACTTGTGCCGAGGGCAGAGGCATGGATGGGAGGAGGGAGGAGCGGGAGAAGGAGGACGAGGACAGGAGAGGACAGGAGAGGAGAGGGTAGGAGAGGAGAGGAGAGGAGAGGGACGCGGGGCGCTGCCTCTCCAAAGCGAGAAACCAACACAGGATGGTTGGGAGGGGCAACGACGCTTCACGGATAGAGGGCGGTACCGATTCAAGATGTGACTCTCGCCTTAGCGCCGCGCATATTCGTCTTGAGAGTTTACAGCCGTCTCGGGCATTGTGATGGATAGCGTACCAGAAATTGTGCTTTGCCACGGTGTCAAACTATCAGGGCGCAACAATCACGTTGATTCCCGGTGTTGAATGAAGTCCCAGGAGTGGTGTTCTGACACGACGCAAGATCGCCAAGACGCAAGAGAAACGGTGATTCGCGGCGCTGAAGTCCCAGGATTGGCGTTCCGGCACAATTCAAGATGTTAAAACGGTTCTATTCCAATAAGACATTTCCCCCAGTGAAGATGCACCCTTTCAGGCGCGTGTGAAGAGGGAACTTGGAGGGAGCGTTGATTGTAATATCATTGGAGAGCCTTGGGTTTGCACTGGAACTCCACCTCCTCCTCCTCTTCTGACTCCCCTCTGCCACGTGTGCATTATTTCCCTCTTCGCGTCCCTTCCTCAAACTGCGACCAGTCCTCACGCGAAGTGCCTAGTCAGCCTGCCCCCCCCTTCGCTCCCTGCCGCCCCTGATTGTTACCACTATGGTACGTAACCATTGGTAGCGTTTGTAGCCTCATCCTCCTACCGCTGGTCGCTTGCCCCTGCCACATCGTTGCCTTCTCCTGCTCCTCCTCCTCCTCCTCCGCCCCGCCCCGCCCCGCGCCCCGCCCGACCCCACGTCCATGCTCCAACCTCGCTTCGCCTCCTCCTTCTCCTCTTCCTCCTCCTCCTCCCCCTCCTCCTCATCCTCCCCCTGCCCCTCTTCGTTTCCTGGACATTGTCCTTCTGACCATCCCCCCCTTCCTCTTTCCTCTCGGTGCGGAACTCCTTGCCACGAGGAGGATGATGAAGAGGGGGGCGAGGAAGGCGCGACATTCCTGGCCAAGGAGGCCAGCCAACTGCCCGTGTGGTGCGATGTTCTTGGCCTCAGCCAGTACGAGGAGGTAGGACGAGAAACAGAGAAACAGGAGGAGCAGGAGAACAAGACAAGAGGGATTGATGAGGAGGATTGGGGAGGAGCGAAGAAGAGGGAGAGGGGAAAGAGGAAGAGGGAAGAGGACGAAATACGAGGACTGGGAAGGAGTTGTATGGAAAAAGGGGCGCAGGGTCACCGACGAGGATGACAAGGGGGAGGCGGAGAAGCAGAGAAGCACAGGATGAGGATCAGGCGCGAAGGAGGACACAAAGGAGATGGAGGGGATGAAAGAGGATGGGGGGGAGGGCGGGGGAAGGGGGAGGGACGGAGGAGAGGGGAAAGGAAAAAGGGGGAAGGCAGGAGGGAAAGGGGGAGAGACGAGCACAAGGAAAATAAACAGAGGGAGCAGTTCGAGGAGAAGGGTGTACATGGGGAGGGCAAGAGGGGAGGAGGCAGAAGGAACAATGGAACCGTAGGAGAAGGGAAAGAGGGGACAACGAGGGAACAGAGGAAGAGGCGGAGGAGGATGAGGAGTGGCATTAGCCTGGGGGCGACGCGTGTCTCCGAAGCGCCCGGCTCAGTCGAGATGCTTTGGCGGTTGGGCGAGCGGCACGGGCGACGGCCAGCGCCAAGCGAAGGCACGGGCTGCACGGAGTGCGGATGCCATCGCGTCGGGCGTCGGGCTGGCTTCGTTCTTCGTTTCCCAAAACAATGCCTGCACTTCGGTGTTTTTGACGGTGTTCCAACGGATTGGGCTGGCGTGCCGCTCTGGCAGCTCATGTGGCCGCCGCCGCCGCCGCCCCGCACCATCGTCGCCATCCGTCCTCTGCACGCGCGCCCTGGCGAGCAGTCACGGACACCATGCTCCCAGTATGTCCATCAAATGCAACCGAACGGGTCTCTCGAGGGCGCATGCTGAAGTCATTCGAACGCCCCTTGCGCGCGTGCTGGGTCGGCACGTTCCCTGCCAAATAAAGCCACGCGGGCCACTGCGCGCGTCGGCCGCTCGCGCATGGTTTTTTTACGAAGAAACATGTCATCGCCGACGCGTGGACCCCATCATCGTCATCGGCGTAACCATTATCAGTGCCGACGTTGGCCTTGTCGTCGTCGTCATCTCCGTCAAAGCATCGGTACTAACATCATCGTGTCTGCCGCTGTCGACCTCGCCATGACACCGCGCCCGCCCGAGCCACCGACCCGCACTGAAGTGCCCACGCGCCAGCGCGGCCTGAGAGACGCGCTAGGAGTTGCCCAGCGGTCAGCGCCACTGCGGCCGCATCGGTCGTGCCAGACTGGCTGATCGCTTTGCGCGCGAGTCTGCGCGCGCTAGCGCGGCCGCAACGATCTGCCAGCCAACGCCAAGCACTCATCGCACTCGCCGCCGCATGGGTTTTGCAAACCAGATTGTGGGCAAGTGGAAGGGAACATTGCGCGAGCAGCGGAGTTGACATCAAGTTCGGCAAGGTGCATCGCACCACTTAGATTGCACCGCATATATTGCAAATCGTAGGTCGCATTCCATAGATTTAGCACTTCTCCTTTCTAACACGAACTTATTATCTACCACCCACGCCCCCCAGGTCTTATCGGCTCACCCTGGGGATGTGCAGTTGACATTCTGCGCCAATGCTCACGCAAAATATGAATTCGTACCATCCCAGCCAAGCCGGGCTCGACACCCAGACTCATCCCTGTCAAGTGACGCTATGCGCACGCACTTGATTATGAAAAAGCATTAGTTGTCAAGCAGCACTTGTAAACATTGAACGACATTCACACGCGCGCGTCGTCGCGCGCCCAATCTGAAATCCTTCGGCAACATGTGGTTTCGCATGGATTCCAAAAACGAGCGCCTAGAAAACAAAGAATTAATCGGGCGAAAGACCCGACCACATGCAGTTGTGAGTGCCGTCCTTGTGAATGTCACCATCGGTGGATCTCCTCACGGGGCCTT